ATTTCCATGGATATTGTGGTGGTCTGTATGCGACTGAAAAGCTGCCTCTCATTGTCTCAGATGTTTTTGGTACACAGTGGAATTTCGATGATTTTAACATTGTGCCCGATACATTTGAACCCTTTCAAGAAATGGTGAAAAACCTTATTGCAAAGATTTTCGACGCAGCCATTTCTATCCCGTATTTTTCTAAAATTGTTGTGAATATACCAACTATTACATTGAATGGTATTTTAGATGCCTTTTTCGACTTACGGATGCCCAATCGAAAAAAACAGTTCGAGTATTTCCACTCACTGCTAGACTCTGTAATGGATCTGTCCAGTAACCCTTATGGCATGTTACAGTCTTGTGACATGCACCTCGGGAATTTTGGAATCGCCAATAATTCAGTGGTAAAGGTGATTGATTTTGACGCGGTCTTTCCTGTTCATTATCTTAGACATGTCTTGGAGCAAAAGGAATGTGTTTCTGATGCTGATTGCTGGTTTGGCACCAAAGATGATTGCCAGTCGTCGTGTGACACTGCTACCAAGAAATGTACGTCAAGAATGCAGAAACAAGATTTGATCCATATCTGTGAGACTCACATTCCCTTTGTTCTTAAAAAGGCCCTGTAACCAGGAGTTTTCGAAAAACAACTCCATCTGCTCTAAGAAAGTTGTAAGAAAATTCGAGTTGTTTTGCAAAAGGTTGAGAGTGGTTGACTCACTTGATCAGCTAAGAAACGATGTTCTAGCGGTGAAAAGGAACTCACCCATTTGGAGAAGGATTTATCCAATATGTGCTGAAGCAAAGGACCCTTCAGTAACACTAAAACTGTTTAGCGCACATCTGCACCAGCAGTACATCTTTTATACTGTTTCGCCAGAGGACAACTCTGATATTTCGAACAGTGAAAAAAACCACGGTTTGATACCGTGATAAATCAGATAAATCCAATCTGTTCAACCTGTTTCCGGTTTTTTTAACGACAATTAACGATAGCATCAATCGCGAAATATTCCTTTTGCAGTGATCTCTTGTTTTCGACTCTATGCATAAATATTTTCCATTTTGCTTTGTCTCTCTCTTATACTCTTTTATATCTGAAAACTCATCTCTTTTAGTGCGTTTTGTCTATCGTCCACGATTCAGGCTAGAAAACGCTGACTCGCGCGACGGAATTCCCAGAAAAGGGAGGGACTTCTTGTAGCCTAGTTTCGAAACGAGAAGGCAGTCGAGTTTCTCTGTGAACATGACAGTTCGCGTGTTACCGTGATGGAAACGCGTTATTTGCCTACGATGCATCTATTATGTTAAGTTTACTCTTATACCAAAAAGATCATATCATCATCAACTGATTTTAATAACGTGATGATCCTAAAATTATTAATAAATGATGTAAGCAGTTTTAAGGATATTTATAGAGGGATATCGATATGTAAATATTTTAATTTTATTTTATTTTATGAATCGAGATCTATAACACTTTATCCAATCAATTATGGTATTACAGTTGTAATTAAGACTGGAGCTGGCCAATTTATGAGCAGAGGAAATTGTCTGTCCGTATTTGGCTCTTGTCCATCTTACGGGATGCGACTTTACCTAATGTTACCAATTTTCATGGTCACATACTCGTACGTCCATTTTAATCTTCCATCGCCAAAAGCAACATCGTCATGAATATGTGACGAAAAAAAATAAAGACGAAATGTTCGCTTTTGACCTCAAAAATGTCCGTGCTGCATGTCGCATATGGTCCAAAATTCATGATATGTGGAAGCCTAAAAATCATTCAGCGCTGGTGTGCTATCTGAAGAGCACTTTCGATTTCTTAATCGGATCTACAAGGCACGATTTGGCCCTCTGGCTTTTAAATTGTCAACTGAGTTTATAATGTAAATTGGCCACCTTTAAGAGTTTGTAAGTTGAGTTCGGGGGCTGGCCCTTCGTCATTATGAATGGAGGAATTATGGGTTGCGTGTGTGTGTTTACGTGCTTTCTTTGATAACTAACTATACTGAGGATGCTTCAGGGGAAATTCGGCAAAAAAAGGAATGTAAATGAACCCTCAGTTACAACTTAACTGTGACAACTTTGAAACTATACAAACGCATTTTAATTAAAAGGATTTCCCACTTAGGATTGAATCTTGCGTCACTAAATTTCACGTCGACCATCCTTTTCGAAGGGTACTTGAATTTTACGCTTCGATTAAATTTCGAAAACTGCGGAAATTAGCATCAATTAAGTACGTGGTAGAGCATTTTAACAACATACCATCAGCGAACGCCGCTCCCCGCGCGCTGCCTGGGACAAGTAATCTCCAGTCCCTCGCTGCCATTTTGATTACATTGTAACTGTACTAGGGGCCAAGCAGATGAAAGACCTTCAGGCATTTAAAACAGACTCGTGGGCAAAGTGAGTGACTTCAGTACAATTACATCTCAAGATGAAACTTGTCATGGTATGCTTTTTCCTTTTTTTAATATGATCTGAAGGTTAATTTGATAATTAATGTCATCGACTCGCCTGGTGCAGGAAACACATTGTTTACATTTCGTAGCGTGTACTATTTCTGGTAGTTGACAAGATGGAAAATTTCACGGGCACAGGACTTTACAAATTGGGGATAACACTTAGGTGATGTATTGCAAGATTATAGGCTGCTGTCTTTCATCATGAGCTTTTTTCTCGTTCCAATGTTTATGGAGAATCCTCTGTAAATTTGATACAGTTGAACTATCAATTTTTGTTGCCATATTTCCTAGGCAGTTTGCCCATCAAACCAAAGATTCTAGTCCTGAAAGATACTTTTTGCTTTTACTTTGTTTGCATTGGTATTCAGCTTCAAGTCCACTTGTAAGAAAGCTTCTTCCATTGTAAATGTAAATATAATGTAACATAACTTAACATACATGTAACAATCTTGTTTATTCCTTATTTAGCTTCAGTTCTCTTGTTGGTTTTGCAATGCAGGCATGAAAACAGTTCCAGTTGATAGTGCGGAATCTTACTTTGAAAGTTCTACACTTGACATTTCTGCTTTATAAAAGATGCCACAAATAAACATAGACCCCAAGGTCCATTTTTTTTAAAATTAAATGCAATATAAAGCAGTCAAACTTTCATCTCTTTTAGTTCAATTTTGTTTGCTCAACACTTACAAGCTAAAGTTTGTCTTCATGTTTTTGTTCTTGTTTTTGTGTGTTTTCTTTTTTCGTGGTTTAGTTTGGAAGTGGAAATAGCTATGGGCATTTTACAAATTAAAATTATAAAAATTGAATGAGAAGGGCTATGAGGCATTTTGTGGAAGAGTGCTTTTCTTAATCAATGGAATATATTGTGTTACAGTATAATCTAACCAACAGGAAAACAGTACAATCCTACAAACTCAACTACTTTATTAAACAACAAGTGATAATTATTCTTAATAAGGAGCGACTCTTAGAGGCAGTTCAGTACTTATGCTCAATGAATTTCGAATCCCTAAGTCTGCTACAGTCTATATCTTAGCTCACCACTGAGCCAAATTCACAGTTTCCCCATTGTTTCTTGAAATTAGTAATCATCCACTGAAGCTCTGATGAAATGTTCTGGAAAGTTCTATGGTAAGCATGTTAGCATGACTAAGCAGTCTGGAGTTTTCTAGAAGCTTGTATTTACAACAGCAGTTACTCATAACAACAGTCATATTTTGTTAAAACATACTTCTTTGTCCTCAGGTCCAGCTAGGTCAGGGACAGAACCCTTTAATTTTTTCCCTGGTCCTTCATTTGATCCACAAGGATCCTCATCTACTGAGGTATATGGGCCCAGCTTCCTCCTGTCACATTGAGTATGGTGCAGCCAGTGTCTAAGATATCAATCACTGAGCTGATGAAACTCACCTTGAAAATGGGGTTGGAGTGTAATTTTGAGACTGTTGCGAATATGGGACCAAGCCATAGGAGAATGTTTGTAATGTGTTGTATTGTGGGAGATATCATAGCTCAGGGATCAGGGTGTGGAAAAAAACAAGGCCAAGCATGAGGCAGCCAGGATGGCATTGAATAAGCTCAAAGAATCTCAACTTTATGTTGACTTTGTTAAATGTAAGTTTTTGGACCTGACTTTTCAATTTAAGTTTCTTGATTTGTTGCGCTGCCCTGTAAAACCCTTTTCAGTGTAACATCAGTATGCATATTCTTCATGCCATTCTCTACATGTTTCCTAACATGTAGAGAATGGCATGAAGAATATGCATACTGATGTTACACTGAAAAGGGTTTGACAAATAATTAAGAGCTTCTTGATTCAGGAGTGATATTTTAAGGAGAAATTAGATATTAGGCACTCTTAGGGGTCAATGGTTGACCACATTCCTCTTTTCAATCATTCAAGCCTCTTTTATATAATTGCTCAAGTTGTTGGCAATATTGCTATGGATGTTTCTTTTCTTGGTTTGGGATTACTGGAGGAGCATTCTGTTATCTGGGTCTTCCACTAACACTTAAAGCTCCAAGCCAAGATGAGTATTTTTTGTAGTTGCTGTTTCTTTCGGTCTTTAGACACATAGTTCCTGAGAGGAAATACTTTCATACTATGTAAGTTTAGATAGTGATCTTTATATCTATTCTTTTAAAGCAAGATAACACCTACCCAATAAGTTTGAGTATTCTGATTAACTGTTTGCTGGATGATGTATTTATATTGTAGGGATAAGGCGGATGTTAATCACTTCTGGGAGTTAAAGGATTAAAGGAAAATTCAGTGTTCTCTATAATTCTGTCATAATTATAATTTTTCCACAACAGCAATGGACAACATCTGGTCTTGCGCCACATAATAACCCCATAAGTCATCTGCAAGAGCTAGTTGTTAAAAATGGAATGCAAAGACCAGAATTTGAGTGATCTGATGGAGACGGCCCCCCTCATCAAAGGACTTTTGAGACAACAGTAACAGTGGGAAACTTACTATGTACTGGTAAAGGCAGATCTAAAAAGGAATCCAGGCATAAAGCTGCAGAAGCCATGCTCAACTTCTTTAATGAAACCTTGATCTATCATTGGAGCCACCACAAAAGAGGATGGCATTCATTCCTGCTGGAGTCCCTATTTCGTTTTTACCTGCGGGCACCTTATAGGGAAGATGGCTTGTCATATTTCCATGAAGGGCAGCGAAATCAGGAGCCTGTTATAACAGCTTTATCTTCCCATAACAGTAACAGGAAAAGCATATTTTGTTAGAAGTATTCCTGCAGTTTCGATCTGGGAAGCCGTAAGCATAAGCTACAATACAAAAGCAATGCTAAGAAAAAAAAAATGAGAAGTCACTTGTTGGAAGAATGTATTTTTAGTATCGTCTACACACAACAAAGAGCAGAAAATCTGCACAGGGTGAAGAATAACACTCATCAGTCATTTTTGTTATCTTAAAAAAGGGATGTGATTATTTGTTACAATGAACTTTAACAATAACTCTGATTTATCTCATAATTTAGTCACAACAGATATGGATTGCATTGTGATTAATGCTTTTATGTAAGTGTACTTCTAGTCTTTTGTAAACAGTGATTCATTCAGGAAGTGACTGCATTATTAGACAAAAGATAACACTAACTTTTACATCACATCTTCCTTGTTAACCTTCTTAGGCAATGTGAACCATTTGATGAATTTCCATTTATTTAATCATAGGAAAAAGTTTCATCATGTTTGATAGATTTATTGAAAGCAAAGTAAAGAGAACTAAAATACTCTGTGCTTCATTATGTTTTAAAATATGTTTATTTCAATAGGGAGCCAAACAACAACCAGTTTTACAATAAAAAGAGTCTCTGTTCCTTTATATTTGAAACTATCCCTGTCTGATGAAACGACTGATTTTCGTGCACCTGACAGAAATTTCATTTACTGTATGTTATCGTTCACTATAACAGTGATTAAATAATGTAATTTTTCTCTCTAGCTTTTTCCAGTAACAAATGTCCATAACTGAAGTGAAAGTAAAGTAGAGTCCATGGTCTCGATCCTTCATGTTACAGGAAGTATCAAGAAAGATGCCAATTGAGTTTTAAATTCCCTTTAAAGAAGAAAAGAGTACAGTCCTACAGTTCTCTTCTCTCAAGTGTAAAGCCAACCAGAACTTCAGGAGCAAGAGATAATGGCATGAATCAATATTTTAAGCAACCATTCAAGATACTTGTGAACCTTTCTGTTTGAAAGCATACAGTAACTGTGAAAGAAATTTGATTTCTCTTGGGATAGAGAGGGATCAAATATTTTCATGGATGTCAATAAGTAAAGGAATGAATATTCACATATAAATAAAATTTCATGAAATATCTCATTTGCTCAGTAGTAGACAAATGTTCTTTGGCCAATTAAATTTTCAAAGAATTTGCCAGGCTCTCATCAATGCCAGCTTTACATGCACAATGTAAAAAGCACTAAGCTGCTGAACCATAGAAGTAAGCTAAACAGCCCTAAATTAGCTGAAGAAAGTCACATGATGGAAGACAACAACCACTCAAGTGGGGTAAGTTTGTTTTCATTTTTTCAGGTGGAGAGGTTCAGTGTGTATTCCCATACAAATCCTTACATTTCACCCATTGTGCAACATAACCATATTGCAGAATAATGATCATAGCTTATTTTGTAACCTAGGGCAATCAGACATGTGAGGTCATATTTTACTTGTCCAAGTGGAAAATTTATGGCCATCCCAGACATTCCAATGGCTCAAGTGTCCTTCCCTCTTTTAGGCCGAAGTTTCTCACAATACACCTACATGCATCTAAATTATTTATAAAATTCATAGTCAAGGAAAAATTTCATGCTCCAGTGTCTTGAGAGCTATGCTTATGCTGTCATTTGATGTCATAAAGGGTGACAGGTTAGTGTGCCTAGCATGATAGAATTTCTCCCTTGTGTATACCTTGAGGACTTTGGAGATCCTGCTCCTGAGAGAAACTTTTATTATGCTGTTCAGGTGATAGGTTTCTGTGAAAAGTGAAGAGCACTGTGTAAATAGAGATGACATTTAAAGTGAAAACACTCCCCACATTGATAGCAGCTAAAACTAGCATTTGTATCAACATGTTTGCCTTCATGAACTTGGAGATGGCCTTTCTGTTTAAAATTCTTGCCACACTGAATGCATGTGAAAGGTTTCTCCACTGAGTGAGTTGTAAAATGCTGCTGGAGGTGACTTTTCAAGCGGAACTTCATTCCACATTGATCACATGCAAATGGTCTCTCTCCTGTATGTATGCTTTGATGTGCCTGAAGATGTACCTTCTGCTTAAAACTTTTTCCACATTGTTCACATTTAAATGGCCTTTCTCCTCCATGTACTACCCTGAGATGAATCTGCAGTGTGTCTGGATGGTGAAAATTCTTATAACACCTTACACATGCTGTACTCTTGTCTGATAAATGTGTTATTTCATGTCTAAGGAGACCTCCTTTTTGTGTGAACTGCTTGTCACAATGCTTACACTTGAAAGGTCTCTCTCCTGTATGTATTCTATAGTGTCTGTGAAGATTTCTGGAGTAACTGAAGCATTTTCCACAATAGCTGCATGCAAATGGCTTCACTCCAGTATGTGTCCTTTTGTGGTTTTGAAGGTCCCACTTGAGACTAAAGGTGCGGTCACACTGGTTACATGCATAAGGTCTCTCTCCTAAATGAACCATCGTGGTGTGTCTTCTCAGAGTTCCTGCTTCACTAAAGGTCTTTCCACATTCTTTACACAAATGAGCCTTTTTACTTGTATGTCTTCTTCTGTGCTTGTAAAGACTACTGTTACTGCTAAAGTTCTTTGGGCACTGATCGCATTTAAAGGTCTTCTCCCCAATTGGAGTACTCTGTTCCTCCTGTTTATTGTTCTTTTCATCTTGACGTGTGTGTAAATCTTTTTCTCCTTCTTCAGCACCATCCATAGTTGATACATCTAAAAGTTTTGAAGGGACCTCTCTTCGATAGAAAGACACTTTAAAGTAAAGAATGATTGATTGAGAGACTGATCGTGTTCGATCAATTGAAAAATTATTCTTATAAACATTTGTTTTTTCGCAAAGAAATTAACCGAATGAGTAGGGATCGGGGCGTTCAACTACCACACGTTCAGTTAAAATCGTGAAGACGTCTTCCGCCATAGAAGCCGCCTATTCAATGGAGGAAAATAATGCTTCCTTTCAATCAGATCGTGCTTTCCAAATTACGCATAAAGCCTTCCGATGTTAATGTTTATCAATTTAATTCCGTCTCGGACTGTTAACTGATCAAAAGTAAGTCTACCTGAGTCTCTTCTAGATAAGTTCTTTGGCACCTTACCTGAAGCAAAAGCAGATCAGTAACTGTCTTTCTGGAGGTGCGTATGTTTAACTGGGAACAGCGACACCATTACGGAGTACTAGCATCCAGACTACGCTCCTCCTCGGCTAATATTAGAATGGCCTGGACTTTTTTCCTGTCAGTACTTGGATTCCGGACTTGAGTTTAAGATTACCTATGTTATGCGAAAACAAAGTAATTCCGTTTTTTTCATCAGCGTAATACGAACGAAAAAAAAAAAGCTATTATGATAAAAGTTATTTTGGATCAAGAGAACATCGCATGTCAGTCTTGGGTAGAGCCACTCTGAGGCTAATACGTTTCATCCACGGGTATTAAACTTTGTTGCACGTCAAGGTAAATTAGAATTCCTCATCCTTTTATACTCAATTTGAAAACGTTTGATTAAGTTTCTCAACTGTTTATTAATTACCTCGACCACACTATCGCCGTCGAAGACAACGCACAATTACATCTTTGTATTTTATTAAAAGATTGCAGCGAACAAGGCCCAAGCAATCAATAATTAGTCATAAATCTCATTTTTTTTACAGATGCAGTCTCGTGACCCTGAGATTAAACCAGAAATGAAAGACGAGTACGAGAAAAAAGTGGAGAGCAAATGATGATTATGTAAACGATTGCTCTCGGGAACTACTCTAGCAAGATAGTCGGATAACGATGAATTTTTCAACAATAGCTCTGGCATTTATGACTACAATCTAAATACTCTTGTCACCTTCGCTTTATCATTAAAATACTTGATTAACATTGATTGAAGTTCGTTCCTGAAGAAATATCAATGAAACTTCAAACTTCTTGTTTCTGTGGGGCCCTTCAGTCATTTGCAATTTTAACTTCTTGACACAAGTGAAAAATGATTGCTAATTGAGAGCTCAGAAAGAAAAAAAACCTGAAATCTTTCATGTAACTGATTTACTTTCCTTACATCTATCCCTATTTGGTTCACATAAGAAAGCTTATTGAGTGAAAGAGAACGAATTTTCCTGGGTAGTTTAGCGAAGATTAAGCGGAACGTGAAGGTTCATTAAACGTGACGAGCGTGACAAGGCCTGAATGAGATGAGCAAAAATTGACCTTAAAAACCCTTAACTTTAACGGCGGGATATGCATTAAATTTCCGGTAAATTACATTCTTTCTTGTTATTGTATATATGTATCTATTTTCTTTAAGGTTTTATTAAACCCGAAATGGGTCTCTTCCGTCACCATCAAGATCAAAGAGACGTCAGACAGTTTTAAGAGGAAAAATAAAGCAAATTCAATGACATTGAAAATTCCAAATACTTGAGTACTCTTGAAATTCAATTTCAGGACTTTATTTTGTGATGCGATAGCATATACGTTTTCCGATTAAAGGAAAACGTGTCACTCGCCATGGGTAAAAACTTTCTACCTGCCAAGGGAATTAATAACTTGAACTTTCGTCTCACATGTGATTAGGTCGTGCTCTTTGAAACCGCGGCAAAATTGTGTGCCAGCTCCATAGAGAAAATCACTTTTTGCAAACTGTTCTATTTTTGGGGTGAGATGTAGAAGTAAACGCTTTTCGAATAGCTTCGCCTCGGGAAGCAAAAATCACTCTTTCTCTTAGGGCCAGTCACCAAGTGCTTAGTAAGTAAGCTTTCTTCCAATGGACCGTACTAAACGACAGGCTTGAAACCTTTCTTTACGCTTCAGTTCACTACTGCGTAGGCCTTTGTTCATTTTCTTTCGGGCGCAGTGATTGGTTTCTCAGGCTTTATGTCGGGTTTCACTGAGAATCAACAACTTGATCACAAAATTTCTGATAACTAATTTTCCTCTTCGCTAATAAACACCAAAAACAGCTATGTCATGAAAGACCTATAACACTTTCCCCTGTTTTAATATGGTAATAAAGCTACGAAGGATGGTAAAAGAATTCTCGAAAAGCTTGTAAAAAAAACTCGCCTCACGGCTTGTGACCTTCAAACTGTACGCGTGTTCTCCCAACATTCCGCGTGGCATTATGACGTTGTAAAACCCCGGGAAAGTGCAAAGTATTTCTAAGTCTGTCTTGTTTGACGACTGCGTCAGTGATATTCTGATTTAGGGGGGTACGTTGAAACAGGTGCTGAAAGAGTAGCTTACTCAGTCATACTTTGCCGCCTCAGTCTTCGTGAACGAAATGGCCACGAAATCTGGTGACAAGATAAGTAAAATGTCCTTAGCGATTTCTGGGATTACGTTGGCCCTCGTGTTGTTTTTTTGTTTGTGAGATTCGAATTCGAGTACAACAATTCGAAAGCGCTCGATAAAAGTATTCAGCAGGTTGAAGTTGACCTTAAAGCAAACATAGAAAGAATTGTGGAGGAGAAGTTACAGATTCACGAGACTGCTCCCACAACCAGTAGTAAGAAAAGGCCTGATGTTACCCTTGGTAAGTCACTGTTTACTAGCGGTAATGTTATGTAAGCAAAACATTGCGTCATCCAGGCACAGAAATGATTTTTCCTGTTTACGTCTCCATCCTAGGGAGAGAAGACTCGTTGCTTAGTTATGATTTTATCGCCTATGACTGAGATAAAGGACATAGAGATATTGTCAAACTTGTATTTAATTTCATCGTCTTTGATTTGTGTCATTTACCTATCTACACTATATCTACAGCGTTTTTTTCGAAGAGGTTAACTCAGATAACATTAAAATAATGATTATCCTTCTTTGCAACGTGCTTTGTGGAAAAAAACAACCATAAGAAAGTCACAGGGTAAACATTTTGAAGTTAGGGTTTTACTTTAGTTATTCAGCATTTTTTGCTTGTTTGAGGAAATTTTAGTGTTATTCGAAACACCTGTTATCACATAACGGAAAGTTCGGGATATTGATGTGTGGTTACAAGAATTCGTGCGACAGGAAACGCAAGAAATCAGATTGGATCAAATTGCTCAAAGTTATGACCTCGGCATCGCAATTTCCTGAGTCACGGTGGTCTTTAATCTTTATTCTATAATCTGTTTTTACTAAAACTCGATTTGATGATATTTTATTTTACCCTGGTGTACCTTAGCTCATATCCTCTGCGTATTTCCCAAAGAGGTCAAACCTAAATGACGTTAGAATCTAAATAACTATTTTTTAAGAGCTCAGTAGGACAAGGAAATTATAGGATATCAGCCAGTAAATAGTTTAAAGTTATCATTATTTACTCACCTATTATCAGTAGTATTATTATAATTAGTTTGCGTGAATGAAAAAAGTTAAGGGTATGTGAAAACTCAGCTTTCACCTGAAGGTGATTTTGCGGTATTGACATGCATTCGTGGTCAGGCCATCGATGACTAAAGTAAAATTTTGTTGTATCTAATTCAAACAAAGTTGTGACCTCAAGCAGTTCGTTTCCCTCAATCAAGTTTACGAACATTCTAGAGGCTAATATTTATGTTTGATCCCCGCCATATTCTGTTACCAAAATCCTCACGGACTAAGAGTTATCAAATAGTTCTCCTTACTTTGCAAACAGGATTTCAAGCGCAATGAGCTTGTTGTCTGTAAACTCGCAATTGAAAAGTATGTTGCCCAAGAGAAAAGGCGGTATCAGACTAAATTCCACCCTTTTTCACAAAATTTAGAGAAGAAAAGTTCTCACTTTTCTATTAAGTACTTTTTTCGGTTTGTTTTCCCGTTCTTTGACTGTCACTCAGTTTGACGATGAGATATTTCTTTTTTTGCACATATCTGCCATGCCATATCGAGTGCGTATCTTTTCAAGAAAGTTAAACTTTGCTGATGTTAAAATCTGAATTATTTTCTGTTTAACGAGCTTGATGGGACAAAAGAACTCAAAGGATATCAACAAAGAAATTTTTTGAAATTATCATCATTAATCTATTTATCCCTTTATCGTCTCGTAAAAAATCATGGGTTTATTTCTAATTTCTGCTAAAACTTAACAACGATTTCGCGATGTTAATATCGGCTGACATTTATTCGTGATTAGGCCACTACCGAACATGAGATCGTTTTAAGGTACACATAGTTGCGCCCAATCTAATCAAAGTTAGGATTTCCAGCATTTCCGGAATCAAAGTGGTTTACATTCTTTTTAAAAAGATCATATGTTTGATCCCCACCAAATTTGGCACGAAAATTCTCACGAAACATCAAGAACCGTCAATCAGCTCTGAACATCTTTCATTTGTAAGCTGGACTTTAAGCGCGATTCTCAGCGAGTTTGCAACTTGCAAAATGCCTTGATCGAGGCCAAAGGGTGCTTCACACTAGCTTTTAACTGCTTTTCAACAAACCTTTGAGCACTGAAAAGTTCTTTTTTTAATCATAGTTTCTTTTTGATTTTTCTGTTCTTTTCTCTGACTCGGTTTTATGATTATATTCTCTGCACAGTCTTCCTTCGGTTATGTACACAGCATAGTTTCCAGAAAGTCTAAACGTAACCGACCGTAACTCTGAATTAGTTCAAATTAACGAGTGAATGTTGGGAAGCAACACTCGTTGTCATCTTCATGCATGTATCTATTAACTTCTTTGCTCCAGAAACGAAACTTTGCGGTTATTCAAAGTATCTTCTTTGTAGTAATTACGTTTATTCGTGGTCAGGGCACTGAAGAATGGAGATTGACAAAAACAACATCATTTTTTTGCCAAACCTAATGGAAGTTATGACCCCGAGAAGTCTCAGCCGAAAATTTTCACGTATTGGACCAAAGGCCGCTTTAAATTAGCCAGACTTCGACTTTCTTTTTTTCAATAAGATTAAAGAAGTGAAGAATTCTTTTTTTTAAATCATGTTTCTTTTTCAAAGAGATCAAACCTAACTAAGGTTAAAATCTGTTCAAGGAGATATATTGCAGAAAGGACATAGGATCACAGGATATAAATCAGAAAATATAATGAATTGTCATAACAAGCATTCATTTCCTTTCATTCCAGTGACGAAACCTTAAAAACACCTGCTTTCAAATTTCGGTAATTTTGCGCCGTCGACATACGGTGACAAGCGTTCATGCGTCAGACAACTCAAGATATCAGATTGGATTAAATCGCCCAGTTTAAGCTATGACCCTGGCAATATCAATCTCCTGAAGTCGCGGTAGTATTTGATCTTGAGATTGAATCGGTTTTTTTTACTTTAACTCGATTTGATATTATCTTATTTTACACCTATTTAGCTTGGCCTTCCTCCACGCTGTAGTTTCCAAAGAGGTCAAACTTTAACGACTTTAAAATCTGGATAACTTTTGTTTAACAAGCCTCAATCAAACTGAATCAATGAATTATTAAGTTATTATTATCACATATATCAATTAATTTCCTCTAAATAAGATACTTTGGGATTATTTAAAGTATTTGCCATCGCTTTTCTGTAATTTGGTGAAATTAATGAGATATGACAGTTTGACCCTGAGCATTTCCTGACTCTCCGCCAAATTTGGTAAAAATTCTCAAAATGCTCACGAAACAGGAGTAAGTTAAAAACAGGACTTTGAGCACGACTTCTAATTAGTTCATATTAGCCTCCAACTATTTTTCATTAAAATTTGGAGAAGTGAAAAGTAATTTCTTCTCTTTACTTTTATGCTCTCTTACTCTGACTCCGTTTAATTATTCTCTTAGTCTTTCTTCGGCCGTAAACACAGCATAGTCTAAACTTAATTGACCTTAAATCTAAATGAGTTACTGTTTAAAGAGCACTATGGGGTAAAGAATACAGGGAAATACTAAATATCTGAAAGTGATTATCATGTTATCTATTAGATCGTTCATTTTGTTGTCTTTGTTCCAATGAGGAAACTTCGCGGTTATTCAAAACACATTACGTTAATTTGGCGGCTCTCTAATAGAGTGACATGTATCTATGGTCAGGCCACTGAAGAATGCAGATTGGTCAAAGCAACATTTCGTTTTGCCAAATCCAATCAAAATTATGACGGTACCCTGAGCAACAAGTTTCCTGAATCAAGATCGGTGGCGCCCAAATTTTAAGATAAAGAATCGTCGAGTATATCTGAAGAAATTCAATTTGTGAACTAAACTATCAGCAGATATTCAATAAGTTGGCTACCTGATAAGTTTCTTGTGTTCTTCGCTTTCGATTATCATCTAACTTCTTACCAACAAGATCAGAGAAGTGCAAAGTTCTTCTTTTTTAATCAAATTTCTTTTTAAAGAGATCAAACTTAATAAGTTGAATGTTTTGAAATTATTTTTATCACAATCTTTCGTTTATTTTTACTCCAGTTATCAAAGTTCGTAACGCTCTTTTTTATATCCGGTAATTTCGTAATATCGATATGGGATTAGAAGCATTCGCGCGTCAGGCAACTCAAGAAATCAGATTGGATCAATTCGTTTAGTTTAAGTTATGACTCTGGGCATATCAATATCCTAGAGTTTTCAATCTGTTCTTTAACTCTAACTGGATATGATCTTATCCTATTTTACACCGATGTACCCTAGCTAACATTTATCAAGCTCAAACTAACTTGATATCAAGATCCGAATAATTTCCTGTTTAACGAGCCTCGTGGGAGAGAGGAAATCAAAGGAGATCAATTAATTGAAAAATTGTTGTTATCTATAAGTTGGAGCTATTTAAACATCTGCTCTCCCCTTTCCGGAAATTTTGGCGGTATCGATGAGGGTAACCGTTATTTGTGGTCAGGCCACCGCTGAATGCAAGATTAGTTAAACTATATTTAGTTGAGCCCAATGTAATGACAGTTATGACACCGAGCATTTCCTGAATCAAGGTGGGATAAGTTCTTTGGTGATCCCGCCAAATTCTGGCAGGGAAATTCTCACGAAACAAGAATTTTCCTTGAAGTACTTCTCTTTATCTTCATTTTGAAAACGGTGTTTAGGGCGTAATTCTCGGTGGGTTTGCCCTCTAAAAAGTCTCTTAATCAAAGTGAATGACCATTAAACTAAGTTTTTAAAGAATTCATAAGTGATAAGACTTAAAAGTTTTCCTTTTTTCTATGTTTTTCAAATTTTTTTCCTGACCTTCCACAACGATTTGCCTCAATGATCAGATGCCCCTTCGCATGTTTCTATCAGGCATGTTCATAAATCATAAGCCGTGTTCATCTTCTTTTTTAGTTTTATTCTTATAACTCCTTCCTCTATCTAGACCGTAAATGTCGATTGAATTGATAAAGGAAAAGTTCAAATATGATTATTTTATACATTTCAGAATGTCATTTTTTTCAATATGATCATATTTTGTGGGTAATCAAAATAGTACGTAGGTAAATGTTTAGCACGGTAATGACTTCAGACCTCTTTTAGGTGTTTTTCCTCACAGACTCTTGTAATATGGTAAAGAGGGAGTTCTGTTGCATTCACTGGACCGTCGAACTGTACAATAACAAACGGAACAGATTAAGATTTAAAAGAGGTCTGCAATTGAAGTAAATGGTTGCTATTTGGTCTCAATAATAATGATAATCGTATGTTGCCCTACGCTTGTGACAAGATAAAAGCCATCTTTCTTGATAATCATTTATTTGTCAGGTTCTGAAAGCAAAGAAAAAAGTGTGGTTTCAGTAAAGTATGATCATCAAAGAGAGAGAAGAGCTCCTATTGCTGTACCACTAACTAAGCAGGACGTCCTCACAGAAATCAATAAAAATTTCAAAAAGTTCTGCGGTGTTAACAGAGATAGTTGTCAGACTGGACCACAAGGTCCCCCTGGAATACCCGGCACACCAGGTCCATTGGGTCCTATCGGGCCTTCGGGTAAGAGTGGTGATCAAGGAGCCGGAGGTTCTAAGGGAGTAAAAGGCGACAAAGGCGATACAGGGTCCCCTGGACAACGTGGAGTTAAGGGAGACGTTGGTTCCATGGGTTCTCCTGGCATCAAAGGATCCGTCGGCTCGAATGGGAACAAAGGCCATAGGGGATTAAGAGGCATGAATGGGCCAAAAGGGGAATGCGTCACTCAACCGAACATTACCGTTTATCCACTTTCCCAGGCAGTCTTCCTCAACGAGAAAGTGATATTGTACTGCTGGGTTGAAGGTCGGACGCAATTGAAGATAACGTGGCAGAAGCTTGGTGGTTCTTTGCCTAATGGTGTTCAAACAGACAAACACATGCTTTTAATAAAAAATGTACAAAAGTCACATGTTGGGGATTACATGTGTACAGCTCTCTCTGGAGTTCTTAAAGCAATCAGCAGTTTGGAAATAAAAGGTAGAATCTTAAATTTTTGTTAGCTCTCCAGATCAACTTTCAGTTATTTGAAAACTGACGAAGCATTGTCCAAAGCCTGAAGAAATATCCATATTCCCTTCAATCAAAGCCTTGAATTAAATTCGTTCAGCTATGTCAAGCTTTCTTTGGATAAGAATTTCTAGAAATGACCAGCTTGTATCTGAAACATTCGTCAAGCCTATCTTTAGTATGACAATTAGATATCTTTTTTTCCTTTATAACCACCCAAATTTACCAAAAGGCCGCCAAAAAAGTCTCTTAATCAAAGTGAATGACCATTAAACTAACTTTTTAAGGAATTCATGAGTGATAAGGCTAATGAATTGTCCTTTTTTTTGTGTGTTTTTTAAAGCTTTTTTTCTGATCTTCCACAATGGCTCGCCTTAATGGTCAGATGCTCCTTCGCACCTTTCTTTCAGGCATATTCATAAATTATAAGCTATATCAAGCTTTTTTTGGATAAGAATTTCTGGAAATCATTACCTCGTATCTAAAACATTCGTCAAGCCTAATTTTTATATGACAATCAGATATGTTTTCCTCTAGAACCACCTAAATTTACCAAAAGGCCGCCAAAGCTGGTTATTCGCAATCGAGGAACAAATGTAAGCTTGTGCTGCAAGGTCAGAGGAAACCCTCGTCCAAAAGTTGAATGGTACCGGCCTGATAACCCGTCTGTCATGATCCCGCACTCCCTGGAATTTGGATGCCTTCAAATTAATATGGATAGAGAGAGCGCTCAAGGAACGGACTACATTTGTCGGGCTACAAACCGCTTTGGAATGGTGCAAGGAATGGCCTCAGTGGTCGCAAGATCGTTTGGTATTACTCTTTTAGTTTAATTTTTAATGGGAAGCGGAGAATAAAACAGTCTGGCATAAATATATTCGAGAAAAAGGAAACAAAAATGCTAGATTTTTTATTAGCGAGCAAGCAGAACTTCAACGCTTTCATTAACTGTGAAATCAAAATCATACCATCGTTTCTCGTAATTAAACCTATGTCTAGGGATTGGGAACGAAATTTATTATAATTGCAGGTCTGACTTTATTTCTCTTTTATGTTTAGTTGCGGGACAATCCTACATAATTGGAAGCAATGAAACTCACATCGCAGCCCTAAACCAATGGTTGCACTCTGTTGTAAAGAGTAGAACCTCTTCCTGGGCTTCGTGTTGGATAGCGACAAAACATGGTTGGAAGGGCTCTACATTTCACAATTTGTGTGACAACAAAGGGCCGACTTTGGTAATTGTCCGTGTTGGAGATTACATCTTTGGTGGATACGCTGGTGTATCATGGAGAAGACATCGTAAGTAAAGGATTTCGTGGTTTCTTTTAAGTTTCTTTTTTTCGTCAGTGAGTCAAACTATTGAAAGTAAGAATGTGAGTTTGAAGACCTAACGCAACATATACGGCAGCTGCTAATGCAGGCTAATGTAAGCCGCAATCGCTCTTCTGAAAATCAACCTACCCTGAGATGTTTGCCGAAAGTTTTGCTCTAGTTCTACAAGACTTAAGGAAAATTGCGGATTAAAGACAAGAGGTTTTCAGAACTATTTTCTCAAACATTTTATTGTTTGATGTTTAGATGGTGATGCTTTACTTGCTTGTAAAACTTGCTCCTCAGGATTGCCCGTAAGGGCAGGAGAGAAGCTAATGAGTCAAATATCTTCAATTTAATGACTTTAAAAAGCTCACTTGAACGGAAATGGCTAGGATAAACGAATTCTAAAGTGTATTCGAGGTGTTCTTTTCAGAAGAGTCCTTGTTTGTTGATTGGGTTGGGTGGAAAATTTGGGGGAACTAGCATTGGATCGCCGCACACTTAGCCAAAAGCATCAAGACTTCTCAAACTGTCTTTAACTGTTTTTTTGTTGATGTCTCAGTTCTGTAATATACTTTTAATTCCACTTAAATCAATTTCTTTCCTCTCCGTCTAACTATGGTTGCCTGACTCGTAACTGTGATAGATCTCTTCGAGTTCTCAGTGACTCATGCTACTGAATTATGAATTTTTCTGTTACTTCCGAATTCTGTCAACTCACTTTTGAACTCTGTCTCAGTTGCGCTGCTCAATTCTGCCTACTAAGTAAGTTTTAGAGGACATACTTATATATTCACTACTGATAAACATGGCCGGGCAAGCCAGCTGATTGACCATGAGAGATTAACCATTTGTTATTAGAGCACTAACCCACTTTGACATGAAACACAAATGAAAAACAGCGTGCTAAGAGTTTCTGATTAACCAAATCAACCTCTTACTACATAAACCGTCACGGTAATTTTCGAGTGGGTCCAAATCAAGATCAGCAGGCAAACTACTCTCGTACACTTATGGGAGTCAAACAAGACAGGTATAGTTCAGGAAACTCATCGCGATAGCTTAATCTCAAATAACTTCAGACTTCGAATTCAAATTTTAACCACATGCTGATTATAAACGAATGACTTAATCATTCTGAACTAAATAAATACTGCAGAACATGATGATGTTTTGTTTCTGCTGTCAAAAATATCCTGGCCCCCAATCCTTCTCTTTTTTAGAAGATTGTGACGATTAATAACACATTTCTAGCGCGCTGACAACACTGTATGAAACGCACGACAAGACACAAATTCGAAATTTTAAGTGTTGGATTTCATCTGACGAAATAGCGCTTTATTATTCGATATCTCTTTGGTTTCATTTTTGTTTTTGGTTTTTTTTCAGCATGCCCTGTTGGTTGAAAATGCATTTCTATTGGTATGTTCAAATTACTAAAATTGTTTTACAATAACTTTTTATTACTATTTTGCTCATCAGCTAAAATAAATTACTGTGGACGAGTGTACAGTCCAACCTCCTTCATGTTTTCATTGGTAAATAAGCCTGGCTGGGGGCCGACGAAACTGCCTCAACTCGGATATGACAGTCCTATTGGATTTTCCATGATGTCTTGTCATAATGATGGACCAATATTTGGTACAGGAAGCGATCTTACAATTTTAGACGACGCCCACAAGAGTAAAACATCCTATGCACACATCGGAATGTCCTACAGCGCACCTAAAGGTCAAAGTCCTGATTCCGACTTCACTAACACATTCATGGCAGGAAGTGAATATTTCTCACCTGATGAGGTTGAAGTCTTGTATGAAAGAATTGACTAAAGTAGGCGAATCGAAGTAACGATAACATTTAAGTTTTCTATGTTATTTTTGATCAAAATGGTTATTCTACCTCTATCATTAGCGAGATGAGAATCATCAACGAATGTTTATGTAATAGTACTGTCCTGTCCTATATCATCCAAATGTGATCATTTGTATAATTAGTAAAGAATTAATGAAACTCAAAAAGGCTTTCAGCGACACAAACTCGAGGCACAATGCTGATCAATACAGTACCTCGATCTCTTAATTTTTTGTATAAAATTTTGAAAACAAGTTGTAAATTCTGCGGTAATTTGTAAAGCTTATTTCGCACAAACTAAGTTTTCAAGTATTTTAGTATTACAATTGTAACGCAGCATGAGCGCAGCTAAGAGAATGTCCCCTCCCCTTTCTCCGATCCTTTGTAAGATAATAAGTGCATAGAATTTATCCGGCAGAATTCTTTTCCAGAGCTAGATCTCTGCTCCATTAGCCTGTTTGTCTCGGTGCATGAATTCCAGCCAGACGACACGCATGGGAAGGCTATAGTACAATCTACTTCGCATTTGGCGAGTGGAAATTTGTATCTGTGATTCTCCCTTTCCCATCCCCCTCCTTGTTACGCCCCTTTGGAACGAAAATTAAAGTATTTTTAAGTGAGCTTAAAGTAATGATAAAGAAAACAAAATTCGAATCGTATGACTCCTTGATTATTTTGTATCAATTCTAATATTTCATTTAGTAGACAAATTTAGGAATATCTAAACGCAAGTGTGAGACACAATATGGGGGCAGTTATCATTTGGGAATTGTTCCTGTTACTGCCCCCTTGTCACGAAATTCTTTTTTTTCCGCTGAGTGTATTTTTACTTTGTGTGACCACTATATAAATGAATAAAACCGTGGGAAAAAGGTTAAAGCCGGGAACAAATGTCTTATTGTAAGTCTCTTTGGGTAATCGAGGCGATTGCAAACTTTCTGCTTGAAAGTGTCACATAATCCGTTAAGTCTGGCAGAAATTATAGTTCGAGCGGGAAGGAAGGGGGAAGAAACAAAACGAAAGGCCCTCATTTTACTAGCAAGAGAACATATTCTTATTCCTGGCTCATTCATCAAAATCCAAACAAATACGAATATACATCCAGTTCCTCCTCTCAAACCAAGTGACTGGATCATACAAGTTGAACCAAGAAGCCCACAATAAAACATGAACTACTCATAATCTCGAGATCCGTAAACACAGCTCATGAATTTAAATGATTAATGGCTCCTAAGCTTTCCTCTATTAGACACTCTGGTAGGAATGAAGTACTCCATACTGAAAAGCCAAAGGGAACGAACAAGCAACGGACGTCTGAATGTTTTTTGAAGGTCGAGTTGATCACATTTAATCTGTCTGACTAAGAGATTATAAACTGTTCATTTTATTATCTAGAAAGGACAAATTTTTCTCTACATCCTCTAAAACATCAACAAGCCCGCTATCTGACATTGCCAGCGTACAGCTGTCGGACACAACAAACTACCGAACTTTGCTATTACGAGGTGGAAAGATCAACAGGATGCACAGTTTGAGGTACACTGGCAAAAACGTTTCCCGATTAAAGGAAAACGTGTCACTTCCCCCTAGGTGATAAGGGAAAAAAAACAACCGGTCACCAGGCGCTTACTACCCGAACATTTAAAGCGAGACATATTCACACTATAAACTCAGTTGATGAAACTATATTATCTTGTTTCCCTCCACCCCCCTTCCCTCCCCACAGACACAGCGCAACAGTTTCTTAAACCTCCTTATGCTAAGTACACGTTCGAGTTATTTCAAACTCTATTTTTGATGCTCTTCATCCGTCACAGTGTAACGTATTCAGATATTCTTTAAGTTAGGAATTAAGCGTAATTAACTATTCCCCCAAAGGAAAAACTCTAAAAATACCGCACAAGTTAGGTCGAGTTTCCTTCTCCAAACTGAAAGAGCAAACAGCATCAAATTTTAGTTCACGCCGTCGTTTGATTACTGCCATTTCTTTTAGTTCAGTGCTATGATTTCTATCGAATTATGGATACCATTTCATATATCTGTCCTGGTTGTTCACTTTCTTTCGGGCATCGTGATTGGTTACTTAGGGGTTTTGACAGGTTTTATTGAGAATCACCGACTTGATCACAAAAAGGATGATAAGTTTGTTGTCCAATTCGCTAAACTCCGAGTACAGATAGACATTAAAGCAATACAACTCATTTCCCGGTTTTCATAACTTGATAAAGCCGCTTAGTATGTTGAAAGAATACTCTAAAAGCTTGTAAATAACTCGCCCTACAGCTCGTGATTTTCAAGCTGTATACGTGTTCTCCCAGCATGCCCCGTGGCTATTGATGACACTATTTAACCCGGGAAAATGAGTTGTATTCCTTAATCTGTGTTTTTTGACGACTGCGTCAGTGATATTCTGAACTAGAAGGGTACGCTGAACAGGTGCCGAAAGGGTAGTTTAACCTTAACTTGTACTACTGTGCCGGCTCAGTCCTCTCGAACGAAATGGCTGCGAACAAAAACAACCACACGAAATCTGGAGACAGGATGAATAGAATGTCCCTGGCGATCTCTATGATTTCGTTGGCCCTCGTTTCATTGATGTTTGTGAGATTCGAATTTGTAAACAAACATTCGAAAGCACTTAAAAACCGTATTCAGCGGATTGACGTTAACCTTAAGGAAAAGGTAGAGAGAGTTGTAGAAAAAAAGTTACAGTTTTATGAAACTGCACCGACAACGAGAATTAAGGAGAGGCCTGATGTTAACCTTGGTAAGTCATTGTTTACACATAGTATTGTTATGTAAGCTTTTAATAACAAACATTGCGTCATCCGGGTACGAAGTGATTTTTTCCAGTTTACGTCTCAATCCTATGAAGAGAACACTCGCTGCTTAGATATGATTCTGTTGTAGATGGCTTTGAAACAGAACAAAGCTTCAATATCACAATGACTGTATGTCATTTACAATATTTGTACGTCATATACCCTGGACCATATCTACAACATATTTTTTTAAGAGGTCAAACTCAAATAACATTAAAATAATGATTATCTTCTTTATAACATGCCTTATGAAACAAAATACCCATGGGAGAATCATCGGATAATTGTTTCAAAGTTATATTTAACTGTATTTATTACAATTTTTTCCCCTGAGAAGTACCTTAGGGGTCATTCAAAACACCTGCTTGCCAGTAACAGTAATTTCATAGTATTGATGTGCAGCGTCTTGTATTCGTGCGACAGGAAACTCAGCGGAAATCAGATTGTATCAAATAGCCGAGTTTTGACCCCAGCCATTGGAATTTCCTGAGTGACGGTGGTCTTTCATCTTTCACCTATAATCTGTTCCTTTACTCTAACTCGATTTAATTTGATTTGATTTTAACTTACCCCGATCTACCGTGGCTCAGATCCTCAGCTTATTTTTCGAAGAGGTCAAACTTAAATGACGTCGAAATCTGAATTACTTTTTGTTTAACGAGCTTAATAGGACAAAGGATTTCAAAATCAAACGAAATCAGACAAAAAATATTTTCAAGTCATAATTATTTACTCATTTATTAATATTAATAGTATTATCGTTAGTTTGTCTTGATGAAAAAACTTTAGGATTATCTTAAACCTCTGTCTTCACCTTACAGTTATTTTGCGATATTGACATGTATTCGTGTTCAGGCAATCGAAGAAAGGTATAAACTTTTTTTTTTCCAAGTCAACCAAAGTTATGACTCCGAGCATCGCGGTTTCTTCAATCAAGGCGTTTAAAATTCTTGAGGCTAATGTATTTGATCCCCGACAAATTCCGCCGCGAGAATCCTCAGGTAACAAGAATTATCAAATACCTCTGAACATCTTGACTTTGCCAAAAGCATTTTGAGAGAAAAGCTTAATGAGCTTGCTATCTGAAGTCTTAACTCAAAAGTTTCCTCTTCATCGAGAAAAAAAGACCGTATCAGATTAGTTTCCAACTATTTTCTTACAACATTGAGATAACTTCATTTTTTTTTTTTTCAACCAAGTTTTTTTTTTTTTTTTTTTTTTTGCTTGTTGTTTTGTTCTCTCATGGACGATAAGACACCTCTCCCGCATAGCTTTATCATGGCTATCTTTCATGGGAATCAAACTTTACAGAAGTTAAAATCCAAAATATTTTATGCCTACGAACTTGATGGGACAAAGGAAATCAAAGACACCAAAGAGGATATGTTTTAAGATCATTTCTATTATCATTTATTCGTCGATTTTTGTTTCAGTCAAAAAAAAAAACCTTCGGGATATATTTATAACTTCTGCTTTCACACGATTAAGATTAATTACAGATATATTTCTTGTCTAATTCAATAAAAGACATGATACCGAGCATTTCCTGAATCAAGGAGGTATACATTCTTCATGACCAATGCGTGTTATTTCCGCCAAAATCTGGCAGGAAAATTCTCACGCAATTGACAATCAGTTCCGGACATCTTAAATTTGAAACGTTTCTCGTTTAAGACGAAAGGACACTTCAAACTAGCCTCCAACTATTTTTCAACAAATAATTGAAAATTAATAAATATTCTTTCCTTTAATTTATTTATTTTTGGTTTGTTTCTCGATGTAATGATCTTATATGCCTTTTGCACCGTTGTCTTAAGCTTATTGAAGTAAACAGTTTTGTCGGTAGGTCTCCAGGATAGCTCTTGTGATCGCGTTTCGTTCTGCACTTGTGAAATAATAAAAGCATCTTTCTTCACGATCATTTTTTAATCAGGTTTTGAAAGCAAAGAAGGAAGTAAGCTTTTAACAAAGCATGATCACCAAAGAGAGAGAAGGGCTTCTGCTGCAGGGGCAGTGACTTTGAATCAAGTCCGCTCACTAATCGACGATAATTTCAACAAGTCCTGCATTGCCAACGGCAGAATTTGCCAAGCAGGGACCCCGGGTCCTCCTGGAAATACCGGCCCTCCAGGCCCATCGGGTTCTATCGGGCCTTCAGGAGCGAGTGGTGCGCGTGGACCTGTCGGACTTCAGGGAATAAAAGGTGACAAAGGCGACACAGGGTCCCCAGGACAACCCGGAATTAAAGGAGACGTCGGACCCACGGGCCCTCCTGGCGTCGCTGGACCCACTGGCCCAAAGGGAAGAAGTGGCCGAAGAGGAGGGCAAGGTAAGAGGGGACCTAAAGGAGAATGCTACTCTTCACCGAAAATTACCCCTCTCCACTGTCTCAGGCAGTCTCCGTCAATTCCAGAGCAGTGTTTAACTGCGCGGTTCAAGGTCCAATGCCTTCGAGGATAAAATGGCAAAAGCTTGGTGGGCCTCTGTCTAGCGCTCCCATACACAACGGTAAGCTCAAAATCAAGAAAGTGCAAGAGTCCCATGCTGGGTTTTACATGTGTACAGCTCGCTCAAAGCTTGGAGCATTCAAAGTCATGAGCAGATTGGAGGTAAAAGGTATGATCTTCAACTTTTGTGCGACTGAAAACTAACGAAGTTAGCGTCCATATCTGCAAATTGCCCATACCCCTAATCCAAGAAAACATTATCAATGAAACCCAGAGAAATGACTGTTCTGGAAAAAAAACAAAGAAAATGTTCTAACCAGAGACTTTCGTAAATTTTTCAATCGTGCTCATTTTATTATTTCCTGTGTGTAAATAAACTCATTTCAGAAATAGAACAATGCCGTTTTTGTCTTCTTGGCCAAATCCACAGATTCAGGATGCAACACTATTTAAGAGAGAGCGGGAGTTGAAGTCAGTTCGCATTCTAAGTTCTTTAGCTGTGGTGATAGCTTTTTACTGAAAAAGGTCTTACTGTCTTTCGCCTTTGAACTGATGCTGAAACAAAAAATATATATATATATATCAGCTTGAGTGCTCTTTTAAATTCTTTGCGGGGAAAGCGTAATCACTTGATTTCTCGTTTGCGAGACTGACACGTGAAAATTTCTGGATCTTGTCTCAATTCAGCTTTTAAAAGCGCTTTAATTTTCCCGAAATCGCTTGTCTTTGATTGCACACTTCTCAGTTGGTAATTTTATGAAGCGCCATTTTAAGTTAGCTAAAAAAAAAATAATAATGATCCCACGGATGTGACTTACAGCATCTTGAAACGACTTCAGAATTTTTTCCGACGTTCGAAATTAGATTAGTAAATACAAAATAGTCCAGAGTTATTTCACGGAACTTTCTTTGAGAAAAGGTGATGGATTTGGCGTGACGTGTTTCCCTAGTCAATCAGCGCCTTGAAAATGATAGGCTATATCACGAATTCTTTGGATCAGAATTCTACACAGATGATTACCTTATCTCTAAAACAGTCGTCAGGCCAGCTTTGAGTATGATTGTAACATTTTGTTTTTCTTTCAGTGCGACCTGAATTTATCGAAAAGCCACCAGAGCTGATCATTCGTGACCGAGGAACCAACGTACGCCTTTGCTGCAAGGCCAGAGGGTACCCTCGTCCGGTAGTAGAATGGAAACTGAATGATGACTTGTCTGCCATGATGCCGAAATCTCAGGAAGATGGATGCCTTGAAGTTGATATGGATAGAGAGAGCACTCAAGGAACGAAATATGTTTGTCTCGCTGAGAACAGCTTTGGATCGGCGAACATATCAGCCTTGGTGTATGCAAGATCGTTTGGTAATACTCTTTCAGTTTTACTTTTACTGTAGAGCGTAAACTGTATGAGACATGAGAGTTTTTATCTACTGTTTTGATAAATTCAATTGTTTAAAAAACTGGTCCAGCATAAAAAATATTCAAAAAGAAAGTGAAGCTGGATTTTGAGTGGCGTGCAAGCTACACATAAATATTTCCAATGACTCGGAAACCAACATTGTATTAGGTTCTACAACTCTTGCATGCGCTAGCCTAGTTCTTAACAGTGGCGCCCAATATCAAGTTGACTTAACTGAGATATGTTGGTTTTTCTTTTTCATTATTGATTATTGCATTATTGTGGGCATTCACCTTAAGCCTCTCTACATGAAACAAAACCTCTTTCGAAAGCAATTTCTAAAAGAGTAAACTCATGAAATCCTTACGCACAATTAAGTTGGAACTCTAGCTAGTTAATACAGGAAAAGCACGATATCACGCACTCACGCTGCAGTTTTAATAGCCAACCACAATACCCTGAAATTGGACCAGTAGACCCCAAATGCATACTGGCTGATAGACGTATCCTTGCAGTAACAGTACTCAGGCTTTTAACCCTACTGTATCTTCGAAATTGAATGCCATTTTCCAAGTTTGACTTTCGAAGGTCAGTCAAAGCAATTTTCAAGACTCCAATTAAGTAAATGGATGAATAATCAAATGAACTGTTAAAAAAATGTTCTTTTTCTCAGAAGATAAAACTACATGTAATTTCAGGGACTAGCACAAAATTATGTTGCTTAATACAGGTCTTACTATATTTTTCTTCCATGTTTAGTTGCTGGACAATCATACATTATTGGAAACAATGAATCGCACATTGCAGCCCTAAACCAATGGTTATACCCTGTTGTAAAGAGTAGAAGCTCCTCCTGGTTTATGTGCTGGATATTGACAGTAAATGGTGGGAATGCTTCTGCATTCCACAAGCTGTGTGACAACAAAGGGCCGACTTTGGTTATTGTCCGCGTTGGAAGTTACATCTTTGGCGGATACACCGGCGTATCATGGAGTAATGATCGTAAGTAACTGGTTACTCAAGCCGCCATTCTGTCATGAACGCGTATTGATCACATCTGGAATTATACTTAGTTAAGATGCACATGAAAGCTAAATTGTCTCGTATTTAAACAAAAACATAACACGAAAGAAAACTTTTTAAAGTCTTGCAAAAGCGTACAGTTAGATAATAAATCATATACATAAGGTATCACTTAAAGAGCGCCTACGTTTCCAACAAAGTGTTTCAAATATTTCTACTCATGTTAGTTTACTAGAATAGTTTAAAACAATTCTTTGCTGCTATTCGTTGAAGGTTGTGGATACAAGTACAGTCCTACTGCCTTTTTGTTTTCATTGGTAAACAAGCCTGGCTGGGAACCAATGAAGATGCCTCAAAGAGGAGACGGTACCAGTCCTGTAGAGTCCATCTACGCTTGTGATCGATATGGACCCGTGTTTGGTAAAGGATTCGATCTTAAAATTGGAGACGACGCCGAATTCAATAGAAATTCTCTGGCAAATATCGGATGGACTTTCAAACCACCTATAGGCTCTAGCTATTCAACCAGCTTCGCTAACACATTCATGGCTGGAGTAGAACGTTTCTCACCTGACGAGGTTGAAGTGTTGTATGAACAAGTTGACTAAAGGAAATGAATTGAAGGAACAATGATATTCAAATACAAATGTTAAAACAAACAACTATGCTTCTGTTTTGAAAGTGTTATTTGCCTTGATGACAAGCCAAACCGATTTTTTAGAGTTATACCCTCGTGGCGCTTAATTGAATTAAATATAAGTATGCAAAATAATTTGTAAAATTAGAGGTTGTGTTGATAGCTACAATTTATAATGGTAATGTTAATTTTTTTATATATATTGTTATTGATACCGACTGTTTTCATGAGCAGTTACTAAACAGTTCCAATTGGGTATTGTAAACACTGTTAGGCACAGCAAGTAATATCTTGTAAGTTTATATTTTGTTACACTGAATTTTTTTCTCTGCTAGTTTGATGATCGTTTAGGTATGTGATCATTGTAAACAATACCAGAAAGTATTGTTATTATTGAATATTTTAGTGTGTTGTTGGGTAAAAAATATACATGTTCAAGATTTCTATGTTACCGAAGATCAAGACAAAATCATTCAGCCTCCTGTATCAGTGAAATAAACGGATTTTTACGCAATAACACTATCCTGCTCAAATCATCTGGATATTATCATATGTATAGTCAGTAAAGAGTTAACGAGATTTAAAAAGGCTTTCAGCGATACGAATTCGAGGAACAATGCTGTTTAAACTGATAAAAAAATGCACACAATCTCTTAATTTTGTTATGAAATTTTATAAAAATTGTAAATTCAGTGGTTGTTTCCAAGGCTTGATTTGCTCCAAATAAGTTTTCAAACATTTCAGGACTACAATTGCAATGCAGCATGAGCGTATCCAAGGGCACCCGCGAGTGCCCATTACCTCCCTTTTCTGTTGCCCCCCTTTCCTTTGTGAGGAATTTTTGTCTCAGTGAATGGGATTTAAATATTTTTTTTTCAGAGAAAACATACTTTGAGAACACGCGCGATTCCGTAGGTTATAATCGGTATAATTTTCTCCTGTACTAGATTTCTGCTCCATTTGCCTAGCATCAGTCGGCACATGAACTATACTCGGCCGACACACAGGAGAAAGCTGATTAAGTCACTTCGCGTTTGGCGAGTGAAAATGCGTAACTGTGATCCCTCCTCGCTCCCGCTACCCTCTTTGAAAAACCCCTAGTTACGCCGCTGTAGAGTAAAAATGCAGAGTTGGTCTGTGCTCTGCCAACATGACAGGAGCACACACATTCTCCACACACAACTTCTTTTGCATTGCCATAAATTACTATTACCGGATAAAGAACATCTAAAATTTACACGTAAAAATAGTTTTTTGTCTTATGATCTCTCGTTTGCTCTTGGCGAAATATTACGGATATAAGCAAACCACCACGTCAATAGAAACGAGAACGTGGCAAAACTTAAGTTACAATGACAGAACAACAGCTCAGCACGTGCATTTTAAAACTTTGTACATTCTGTAGCTGTCCTCTGCAGAAAAACGTAAAATCAAAACTTTACGCTGCTGAGAACGAGAACCACGACGGAGAATTAATAAAGTTTCCATTCAGAACTCATCGCTGCTGAAGTTAAGGTGTGGCGCCGTAAGAGAAGGTAAACACAGCTAGCCAATCGAGAATTTCATATTAAAGTAATCGATGTTTTCGACCTGCCTGCCTGGGTCCCTATTGGCATCGGTTGGCAATCTACGGTTATATTTAGAGGTATAATGTTTGGCCTAAAAATGCACTATTCAATGAACTTTCTTGCGACTTACCTAACATGTGATATCTTTATGACTGTGCATTTCTTAGATATGTTCGCATAAGAAAATTTGCAAGTAAGAAACGGAATCTAAACAAAATTGTTTTTCACGGGTTTCTTCAATGAGATATTTAATAATTTTGTAAATAAAATGAGAAAGATGGTAAGTTTTAAGCTCGGTAAAGAAATAGAGAAATATGTTTTTCGTCTTGTCACGAGCTTGACAAGACTCTCTTGACAATTTAAATGACTGTCAATCTGCTTTCCGGTGAAAATGACTTCATTTGGTTGAAGCATCACAAAAGTCTGAGGGCCTTTCCTTAAAATGGTCAAACAGAAGACACATCTTAAGTTTTTGCAATCAGCACGTTTGTATGTAGAACTACCTGTAATATGTTTACATTTAAGCTTGGTGTTTTTTTTTTTTTTTTTTTTTTACGTCCACCAAAACTTGATACATATTTGAACAAGTGCGTGTTAAACGAACGACAATATTAGACTTCAACCACAACACTAAAGTAAGGAAAACTACTCCAGGTGGAAATAAAACTTAAATAAGATCACATTCGTACGGCGTAGAATCGTGAAACATCTCGAAAGAGCTACCCTTTATCGAGTTTAAATGACACATTTTGCAGGGCATTTTAAGTGATAAACCCACGATGTATGTTGAGAGAAACTGCGAAAAGCTCTTCGTCAGCACTGTTGTATTTTTCGGCATCTTTTAATTAAGACTGCGATGCCCTTAATCAAAACTCTCGGAATGGCGTTCAATTATCCGTATTTTCTGATTAAAAATTTATTTTTGTAACTAGAATTCTTCGCGCACAATCTTTCTCTGCATCAAAAAACTGCAAATAATACATCTTATATGATACCTTATATCCTTTTGGCAGTGCGAAATGCCAGTTAGATAAGTGTTCATCATTTACTGAGCACATGCCACGTAACTTTGGAAACCATTGGCAGGATCTGGAATTTGACTCTTGAAACTGAAAGAAAGGTGAAATTGTAGCTGTAGCAAGCATGAAAGTAAACAAATGAACGAAATTGCAGAAAGAAGCTTATAAAAGATTCAGGCCTCAGCAGGATTCGAAACCATGCCTCTCAACCATTATTTGGGCGCTACTGCAACTAAGATACAAAGCCACATGTTGGGAACGAGGCAACTGTGGTACTTTTTTTTTTTCACCTTATTGCAGCTTGGACTCAAGGACTCTTCATCTTTAATTACGTCTAACTTGCGAGGGTTATTTCGTTGCTTGTATGTCACCTGCAGATCAAATTATGATCTCAGATCATGATTTGATTAAATTGCGTATGCAAACATGCTCTTTTGTAAGTGGGTGTTTTTGTTTTATTTTTTTTTGTAAAAGCACGCAAACGTTTTTTTCCCTCTTAATAATATCTATAGATGTTACGTCTGATGTTTCATTAACAAACTTCATGCAAAAAACATATCCTTCGTACCCTTTTCCTCGAAGTGTAAGTGTACAATTTAAAAATGTCCTAAAGGCGCAGCTTCAATAAATTTTACACCTAAAGTAAAAAAATTGACATTCGAAAGCAAACACTGGCACTCATTTCATTGTTCTTCACATTTCGTATCGGTCGGGAGACTTATTTGGGCGCTATGTTTGAATTTGAAAACAAACTCAGCGAACAGTTAATTTTGAAACTGAGTTCCGAAACCATAGAGTTGTAACTAGGAGCGTGTGGAAATGGATGGTAACGAATAGGGGCCAAGATTCCAATTTCGCTCGGTTGAAGGAAATTAACTGTCTTAATGTGAACTTTGTGAACTAGATGCGAGTACCACTTTGTTATTCACATATTTCACATTCCCATTACAGTTCTGCGACAAATTAGAAGCCATACAATGGTAGACTCATTTTGCGAATATTTACTGCAACTATGGCCAGATACATCTGAAGTGAAGACGCTTCGCTGGACGTGTATCGCAAATGTCGTCTTAAACAGCTTTTTGTGTTATGCTGCTGTGATGTTAAACGCTATAACGATCCACGGAATACGAAAAACATCCTTTTTACCAACACCTCTGAAGACTTTGCTGTTGAGTCTTGCTGTTTCAGATGTTGGTGTTGGTATATTTGCTCAGCCATTGTTTACTTCAGTTTACGTCAAGTTGCTGGCACAACACTCTCCTGGGTGTGCTTTCTATAAGACTGTCTATGCCTTATCAGTACTGTTTTGCATGGCTTCTCTGAGTGGTGTTGCAGCCATCAGCTTGGATAGATTCTTGGCCATTCATCTTCATTTAAGATACCATGAACTTGTAACGTACCCGCGCGTACTTGTTGTGGTAATATTCAATTGGATGCTGAGTGCGTTTGTTTCGCTGATGTGGTTCTGGGTTCCACTGCACATTGCGTACCCTCTTATCTATATTCCCTCGATCCTCTTTCACCTAGTGAGTGCGATGGCTTGTATCAAGATTTATCTAGTTGTGCGACGCCATAAAAACCAGATTAATTCCCTGCAAGTACAGTGCGAAGAACAAAGGCCTAGTGAATTGGTAAATTCTGCTGGCCTTCGAAAGTCTGTAGTCGGTGTATTTTACGTATATGCGGCGTATTTAATCTGTTACTTACCTTCTTCATTCTGTTACATTGTCGTAGCACTTAACGGTCCGAGCATTCTGTTAAAAGTGTTTATCTCTTTCTCGAATTCTCTTGTGTTCCTTAATTCGACTTTGAACCCAATACTTTATTGTTGGAAGATGAGACACATTCGACACTCTATCATGAACATGTGGCGCAACACACTGAATAGGTTCAGAAACTCTTTATCGCTTGAAGAGTGCTAAACGTTTCATCAAACTTAAACTAGGATCTAATTTTTTATTATAAGAATTGTACACTAGCAGGATTTGGTTTGGCCCACTTGCGAAGTAATAAATACATGTAACTGCAGTAAAGAAATCGAATTTGCTTTTCCTGCCATGTATTGATTGAGCATGAAGTAGCTAAAAGCGGGATGTAAATATGATAAAGGGAAAAACGCCCAGGATGTTGTTTATTGTCTTACTGGCGCTAACTAATGAGCGCGGAAGGGGACAATACAAGGTAATTCAATCAAGCGTGGTGGGAGAACGAACTTGTGATTTATTTTATCGCTTTTTCTCTATAATCTTATTTGATTGTATTTTTTAGATATTTTTAGTTATTCAAATGAATGTTTTATTGATCAAAGCCTTAGAATGACCCTCAACTTTCCGAGCTTTTCCTCACGGCTCACCCGGCTCACCTAGCTCACCCGACTCACCCGGCTCACTTCCACTGTTTCGAAAGTCTCGCTTATTAGTCTCCCCAGCACGTTTCCTTTTGTTTTCGGAGCAAAATTTATTACTAAAGTTTTATAGTCTTACAGCGTCATAGGTAATAAAAACCTTCCCAACTTTTCTTTTTTTTTGTCCTAGTGTTTTAGAAGTAAACGCTGAGGCGTATCCTTTTTGTCATTTCCAATTATCTCCCATAAAATTAGAAAAACTCTCCCCGGAAAAGGTGACAATGTTCTTGGGGCTATAACGAACAGAGGGATGTCTCCATTTATTTTTTAAGGATAAAACAAGTGAACAAAGCAAAACAAAACTCAGGGAAGAAAGCAATTTATTTTTCAATCATTCGTTTGACTTAAACCAGTGGATTCTTTAATCAAGACGTAGATCCACAATCCTTTGCACTTTCACACTTTAGCTCAACCCTAGCGAACCGAAAAGGAAAAAAATAGTTTGTTAAGGTTGTCTCCACTCTGTCATAGTGGAGTGATCCTTTTTCATAGGGAAAAAAAACCCTAAGCATATAACTTCACGTTCCAACCATGAAGAATTTTATCTTTCTTATCCAATTGCAAGCCCAGACAATCGCAAGTGCCTTCGCAATCCAGTTAGTGATGGCGTTATACTGCCCTTTGGGAGGAATGGGTAAAGGCCCGCAAAAGCCTGGATTCATTTTCAAACCTCACTATCTGCAATTGCTTTCCTTGGGAATCAGTTGGTCAGGTACCACCCGCACTCCGCTCATGATTGCGCTCATGATTGCGCTCATGATATATAGAGATCAAGGAAAATGCAAAGTAAAAGAACAAAGACAGAAAACAGACAGCATCTACGATAACATAAAGTAATTACGGCAAACTTCGGTTAACGCAATCAGCGCTCAAATTTATGTATGGTTACAATACGACTTAGACTGGAAGTTGAACACATAATCTGAGCCTAACCAATGGTGTTGCAAAACCATGTGGAAGAACAAAATAAACACCAACATACCACAAAATGGAGGGTTGCTATTTGTCTTTAGATAATAATTGCCAGTTAGATCTGTTTTGTCGGCGTCATATCCCATGGAGGGGCATTTACCATCGCATGTCGTGTTCTTTCCTGCCTCACAGTCTGAGAGACTGTGGCATGGAAACGCTTTCCAGGAGCAATTGTTTTGAACTGAAGCAATGTAGTATTCTGGAGCCCTCATATGGTCACAGATCACTGTCTGGAAGATAGCTAAAGAAAGAAAAATCATTTTAGTTGAGTGTTTTAAATTCCTGTCTGACCTGTGCCGCTTACCTGCATTTCCTTTGGGTTCTCATCGCCTATTTCCAAAATTTCTTCCTTTTTCCGACTTTTTTTTGTTTTCGTGATCAGGTTGATTTGTGAAAAGGCTATTGAAAGGCACTTTACCACTCGTTTTAAATAGTTACTCGAAAATAAGAAAGTAATGCAGATCTAAAACAAACCAAAACATACCCTGTGCCAAAATGGAAAGAAAGGATGGCAAAGATACGAAAAAAAAAGGATTATGGCCAGTTTATGTTATTATGTTCGCCATTTTGACTTTTTGTTAGCAAATGAATTCCAATCGAGCGTAAATAAGAATGCTCAAGTGACCAAAACACCTGCTTTTTTCCCTTTCAGTAACTGTCACAATATGCGCTTCTAAGGATTAAACCGAGCTGAGAACCTCACTGACGTCAAGTGGCAGGTTTTTCTTAAAAAAAAAATTTAATAAGGAATAATATCACAAAATTTGCCCCCGAAGGATATGAATCTGAAATTGACACCTCCTGAAACCTCCTGAAGTTTGGATCTCTCGAGGAATATTCTATGTCTATTGTAATGTATAGAAACGTACCCAGCTTCGCAAGATTTTGTTTACAGCCGGGCTGTCGGACGCCTCCATTTGGAAAAAAGTTTGCATGGCCAGCCTCCTTACGCATCCCGAAACCGACTAATCCACCCTTCTGTGGCATGTCAGTGAGTATGACGTCAACGTATTTAGCATCACTTGGATCCAATCGGAAGCGAGCATCTCCGACATCGGTAAAAAGGGGCCCGGCTGGATCTAATCCTAAGAAGAGAAAAGGCAGTCAGGGTCGTTCCAAAGTCAAGTTTGAGTCAGTTCGAGGGCTTGAATGAATACACAGGTAAAAGCAGTCCTTCACTGATGGTTTCCCAACCAAATGGGAAGAACGGTGAACAAGAAGGATATTTGAACAGGACTTTTAAGCACATGTGGACTAAACGAAAACTTACATATCAGACAAAGTGTTTCACATATTTTGCAAAGCTTCTGCTCGTGGCTAAGTTTTAAGTTACGAATCTTGAATTTTTTTGCCTGTGATCGTTACCAAGTCAACAACAAATTTTGCTGGAGATGGCTGAAGGAATTTAAGACATCCATGGTATGTAGAAATTTTTTTTCCAGAACTACCTGTAATACGGCCAAGTATCATACTGGCTTCATCCTTCAGATAAGTTCCAGCATATCCTGCCGCTTGAGCACCAAGGCTAAATCCTATAACATAAAACTTGTCGACCGAGTTAGGTGACCCAGGGGCACTGGAGATCAGGAACCTTATAAGCTCTCCCACCTGAGCCCCCACAAGTTGAGTGTTTCCAGCAGACTGGAAATAATCTCTATTTGCTCCCTTGGACCAGTCCACCAAAATTACATTGCAGTCCACTCGGTTCTTCAGTGCGTTTTTCATTCGTGTGGCCCAGCCTTTTGTATTATCTAGATTTGATGTGGTGTATGAGAGAGAGAGATATCAACTCTTTAGTCATTGTTTCTCTTACAGAAGTGAATAAGCGTGAGATGTGTGCGGGAGCAAAATCAGTGGCCGAGGACTGTTTAATAATGTATCCATACTTGTTTCCCGAAAACTTGATTGAAAAATGTTAAATTCTAAAGGTCTCGCAATTGACGTATGGAATGAACTCCTTCTGGGGGAATGAGTCAGAAAGCTTCGTAAACTTTTACGAGGGGAAGGGATCAAATATCAAACCTTTCCATTACCAGTTTATTCATCTGCCACTCAATGTGGGATAGTGAACACCCAAGTTGATGTTCTCCTCCCCAGATATTACAACCCATGCAGATCCCAGGTTTAAGGGCTTTAGCTGCAGGCATTCGTGGTACTTACCCCTCCATCCATGAATCACGAAGATAGTTCGTCGCGTGATGTTGAACTTAGCCGCCCTCAGTCTACTTACTCCAACATCATCAACTTCCCCAGACCCATTTCTGGTGAACATGGTAAATTTAGTACCAACATCAGATGGGCTTTGTGGTAATTTTGCACTGATGCTGAGAAACCCCCAACGAACTCCAGGGTGTTTATTGAAGCAGCCGTATTTCCCATGGCATACCCTTGAGGGTTTCCTTTTAAATAAGAAACCTGTAGAAGTAAAGATAACGAAGAGATGGAATGTCAGTATTTTGGCACATCGGCATCGTATTCCATGAAGCCGATAAAGCGAAAGTGAAAGAGGTACCGCCAAGTATTGGATGAAGTGTCTCACGCAGAACTTCCAAAAATAGTGAAACCAGTATCAGCTCCTCTATCTAATTTGAGTCAAATTACTTAAGTAAAATAGCGCCAGTCCATGGATTGATTTAAAGGTAGGAAAAAAAATCATAGACTTAATGCCATATGTAATGGGCTGCCACTAAAGGCTCATATAGAGAGCTTGCCCGAGAGCGAGTTCTTGGGATGAGTTCATGATAATTCTAATAGCGGCACTCGGGCACCTATAGCTGGGAAAATATTTATATTTGGAAGTCCATATATTAAGCTGTTACAGTATTCGAGTCATGAGGCACATGTGAGAAAGGCACGCATTATCACACATTGACTGCCCTCAGACAGATGCTGTGCCTTGGAGACAGGGGTAGTGATAGACATTCCTGTGTCAAACAAAATTCCTACTTTTCTGGCGCATTTGACGAGCCTAATTCTCATTACTGCTAGCACTAGACCTTATTTATCTGGTACTGATAGATTTCTACACTGATATATAGAGTAAAAATACCTGAGCGTTTTGAATTTAGGAGGGTGGCAAAAGTTTTGGCGCCACGCGTGATGGCCCCAAAATTTGCCGGGTGACGCGTGATTGAATCCAAATTATCGGCGTGACGCGGGATTGGACATCACAACGTGATGCGTGATTTGCTATTTTACAAGCGCGTGACTCGTGATTTACAAGACTTACTAATTAGATTTCCGTAATAAGTGAATGCTCTTTGACATAAAATGATCCCAATTATTTAAAGTAAATAGAGTCTTAACAAAGGTCAATAATCCGTGACATTGATTTCTGGTCTTTTCCGTCCTTTGCTGACCTTTTATTGACCTTTGATGTCTTTGATCTGCGTGGTAGATCCAAACAATCGTATCACAATGCGCATAAGTTAATATGGTTAACATTGCACAAGGACTATGACCTCCAGTATTATTGGTCGTGGTAGTGCGTCAGATCGTATTCAGAAAGACCAGAAAATATCCGAATCCATCGAATGAAAGATCGAGCCAAACAGTGGCTCAAACGGTAAAAGTCGTTAGAGTTTTGATGTCATTTTATGCCGTCCGAGAATATGGTAAAGCAAGCAATAAGCCAGTACTTAAGGAAAAATTTTGCGTGCCAGTTAGTGATACACAAAGGTCGTCATAATGACCTAAACGAATTCAAAAACCACGTTATATCCTTTACTGACATAAGGACAGTGCCGCACGGAAGGGGGTTGGGCAACGCTTTAACATGAATATTGCCCGTGTATCAAAGAATAGTTAAGGTGGCGTACGCGTCTCCTCAATTCGCACGCAAGACTCTAAAAGCCACAAGTGGCTGCATATTGAAAGATAGCCAAATTAACAAAGTTTATACTACTTCACACGAGATGAGCCATACATGAGTTCAAAGCAATGTCAAAACTACGACTACTGACTTATTAAACAACAAACTATGATGACTATGACGCCCAGACGAACAACTCAAATGTTAAATTTAAAAAAATCAGAAATCTTCGTGAACAGAACTTCAAAGGTGAGGCAAACAACAAGCCATTGGATGAAGAGGATACACAACGAAGCAACTTGAATAAGCTCAACTCTTGTGTTAAATATCCTGATTCTTTAATTTGTTTTTACTGTGTTTGATACTTGTAAAGTAGGACATGATATTACGATACTAAGCCCGAGTAAACACTCTCGGAGCGTCTGGTTTTAACAAGTAAGTCGTCCTTATTTGTCTAAAAAAAGCAATTTGAAAAGTGAAAGGCAAGTCATTCCAAGACAAAAAACGTTGGATGCATTATCATTTTTAATAATATATCCGAAAGGTTGAAATCTTACGTCCATACAATACTAGCCTAGAGTATTTACTCCTTTTTTTCGTGATAGGTGATTAGTTAAAAAAATTCTCCAAGATGCGTGACTTAATAGAAAAATTTAGCGTGATGTGTGATTGGAACCCCCCTTTGCCCACATCTTACAGGGAATGAAGGAGAGAATCAATGGGGTGTCACAGTCCCTGAGATAGTCTTCTAATGTAGAGTCTGCTTACTTCTGACCTTGTCTCTTATAAGAGTTCAATGTGCTTATACTCATTTAAAAAGTAACCTTGGAGGCTTTGTCTGCGGCGTATTGTGAGTAAGTAGCACTTTTCATTCGATCTCAAATACTTGCGTCTGTAAAATTTGACTTGACCGAAAGTTCATTTAAATGTTAACGTGGTACCTTGCCCCAAAATATTTTACAAATTCATAGTTACGTGGATCAAGATGATTATTCATTTTCTGGAATTTGTAATTCACGTGAACCAATTTTATTACTTTGAGACTTATTTAAGTAGCACGTTTGCGTATTGTACAACAAGCTCGTTTTCTGATTACAGTACTAAAAAATAATGCAATATCTTCCCTTTCGAATGCAAATTATAGTGACGTGGACAAGAAATAATATTTAAAGTGATATAAGAACTAAAGTTCCGATATCTGAAGCCAGTAAGTCCTTTACTCATAAATACATTCTCGTTGCCCGACAACTTACTGAGGATAAATAAGGTTGTTATGAATGTGAGCATGAGTTACTAAATGCTCATAATAATGGAAAAAAATTTTCTAGAGATCGCTGATTAGGTAGAGGTTAAACCTCAGTCGACAGCTATATCTGGAACTGAAAATCAAATTTATGCAAACGACCAAGCAAACCATACCAATAAGTATTGTTTATCTGCAAATAAGTCACGCTTCTTTACGCTTGAGCGGCAGACTCACTCTTGATTATATAAAGAGAAAAACGTTTGTATCCAAATAAATAGTCTTGGTAACTTTCCTTCAATCATGAGACTGAGAAATACCTAAAAAACGTTGGATCATTAGTAGAGTATGCTATTACCGGGGTAAGTTTCTAAAGAAACTGTTATGCTGCGTCGGTGGGGGAATATAACGGGATAATTCGGTTTTGTAACATGAATAGCTGCCATAAAGAGTTTTTCAAGCTGACGTGAGCCCTTCGTCAGAGCGAATAGCAAAGCTAGGGCTAACCCTCGAAAAACAAATTTGAAACTCTTTAAGGGGATCAATTTAAATTTTCGACTCAGTTAATAAAGCGAAACTATCTTTGAATATCTTAACCCACCATGAATGATACTCGCCTATTGGAGGGATCCTACCTTGAAATAGTTGACAGTAAATAGCGACTATATGGCTTCCATACTCACCCTCTGCTGCTGCAGTTAAGATTATAAGTAACAAGAAAGCTTTGTTTGTCAACATTGCTTCCGTTTCTCGCCTTAGCCTTGTTTCAATTTCGTGGTTTCAATTCCGGTGATGCTGTTTGAACAAAATCGTCCAACGTAATGATAATATCTCATCATGTAATAAAGTGTGATTTTGAAAAAGTTGGATCATTTCCCAATATTTAGCATTAGCCAAGGTCACACCTTAAATGAACAACCAATCGGATTTCGATAGAAAGTAAAATTTTTAAACAGGGTAAGGAGCTTGAATATTATTTTACGAAACCTCTGACATGTTTTCTTAATTTCTATCATACTATCACTGGATAAAATAAATCATTCTGATGTATCATTCATATCCGCAAAATTCTATATCACATATGATAATTAGTTTTCATTACCCAAAAGTTTCAATCTGTTTCGAGCTATCGTGCTAAATTTTCAACCGGTTCTCATATCAAAGAGATAATACTACTTCACAAATGAAGAGAACCTTTTGTCGCAATATTTCTCGGACGTTAAGTTAGGTCCTTTAATCTTGTTATTGGTCTTGAAATACAGCATATATGGAACATATATGCCACAATAAAAATGTCAATAATCTTTTTCATAGAAACGTTGTTGGTCGAGGGAAGAGGCCGAGAAATACTACCCTATAGTCGGCTTGGGGTATGATGTTGATATCTGTTTTCTTTCGAATAACTTGCTTGAGGATTGGACAGATACTTAGTAATATTGAAATTGGGTAGAATCAAAATATCTTTATATTATCCAAAAAACAAGCGATTAGGATAACAAAACTTTACTTCAACAACTGTAACATCAAAGACTCCCCACTAGGTTAACTAACAGACAGTTCGAGTCAAAAGCTTAATGTATACATTACTGGCACTTCGAAGCCGGCACTCTCAACAGGTTTTACAGGTAAACTTGTCCAAAACACGTCGTTTCGAATTCCAATGGAGCAGCAAAATTACCAGACATCGACTCAATACGAGGATTTACAAATTCCGTTTAAAATAAGCGTAATAACTGTAAATGCAGAATTGCTTAAGTTGCTCAGCGAGAGCGACTCTAGACATAAAGCAAATGGGAGTCACGTGGGATAAAAAAATTCACTACTCCACTCGTGTCGAGCAAATTAAGGGATTACAAATAGCTTGAAGCTTTCTAAAGAGCAAACGTATTGACAGTGCAAGTGTCAAATCCCTTATACAATGATTGTTTCCCTGAAAAACACTTCTTCTGTCCATCAAAAAGCGAATGTATCAATGATGAAGTAAAGACTTGATATATAGAATTTGCATAGTTACGCAACTGAAATCTTGCGACGAACCTATTTTTTTTTAAATGTATTTCTTAAATCAAGATTTACGTCAGACATATCTTTACAAAGCGTGTTACGAATTTCATGAAAAACCACTCACAAATATCGTCTTTTCAAAGATGTGATCAATTTTCAGCACTAAGCTGCGCATGCACTTCCCATGCTAATCTGTATTGGAAATTCTTAACAACCACAACATGCACGTAGCTTGAATCAGTCCAATGAATGAAAAGTATTTGCCAACATCTCCTAAATTTCATCTATCGCTGAGTTGTTTCTGTTCTTGTCTGGTCAATGCATTCAAAGTTATTTAATCGGCGACAAAAGATATTAAAAATGAATTGACAATTAGACCCTATCGTCACGTCTAGAAGGATCATTCTATTGTCAAGAGCTGGCCTTGCTCGCGGCACATGTCACAGTCGAAACGAAGCAAACAAGGAAGAATTTCTTGATTAATTCCGCACTCGCTTTTATTAAGTATTTGCGAAAAACCGTGTGCTTTGAGAAATTGAAGCTAAATTTGCGTGATAGAATGTACTTCGGAGATATCGAACATAAACCCTAACCCTGGCAAATATCGGATGGACTTTCAAACCGCCTATGGGTTATGGCTATTCAATCAGCTTTGCAAACACATATATATGTTTTAAATAAACTAATTGATTAAAGAAAATGAATTGAAGGAACAATGATATTCAAATACAAATATTAAAACAAACAACTATGCTTCTGTTTTGAAAGTGTTATTTGCCTTGATGACATGGCGCTTAATTGAATTAAATATAAGTATGCAAAATAATTTGTAAAATTGAGGGTTGTGTTGATAGCTACACTTTATAATAGTAATGTTCGTTTTTTTATATATTGTTACTGATACCGACTGTTTTCATGACCAGTTAGTAAACAGTTGCAATTGGGTATTGTAAATACTGTTAGGCACGGCAAGTAATGTCTTATAAGTTTCTGTTTTGTTATATTGAATTTTTTCTTTACTAGTTCAATGATCGTTTAGATATGTGACCATTGTAAACAATACCAGAAAGCATTGTTGAAATTTTAGTGTGTTGTTGGGTATAAAAGATATACCTGTTCAAGATTTCTAAGTAACCGAAGATCAAGACAAAACCATTCAGTCTCCTGTATCAGTGAAATATAAATTTCAAAAGGATTTTTATGCAATAACACTATCTTGCCCTAATCATCTGGATATTATCATATGTATAGTCAGCTACTACAAGTGTGATGCAGCATGAGCGTAGCTAGGGGTAACCCTCTCCCCCACTTCCTTTTCTGGTTTCCCCCTTTCCTTTGTGAGAAATTTTTCTCGTAGTTAATGGGATCTAAATATTTTGCTTCAGAGAAAACAGACTTTGAGAACACGCGCGATTCCGTAGGTTATAATCGGTATAATTTTTTCCTGCGCTAAATTTCTGCTTCATTTGCCTAGCATCAGTCAACGTGTGAACTCTACTCGGCTGACACACAGGAAAAAGCTGGTGAAGCCACTTCGCGCTTGGCGAGTGAAAATGCGTAACTATCTCTCCTCACTCCCGCTACCCCCATTGAAAAACCCCTAGTTACGCCGCTGTAGAGTAAAAGTAAAGAGATGGTCCGTGGTCTGATTAAACGCAGGAGTGAGTTTTTTAACCGTGGGAAAAAAAACAAAAAACAAGAAACAAAATGTTCTTGTAAGTCTCTGTGTAGCTGTAGTATTTGCGTAGCTAGACAATTGAAGTCTTTATGCCAGAAAGAGTCCGTTAAATGATTTATAGAAGCCTAAGTGCACACTGGCTGATAGACTGCTCCTGTCTTGCCAGCATATCATGGCAGGAGCACACCCACTCTCATTTGCATTGCCATAAACTACTTCAACCGGATAAAAGAACATCTGAAATACATATGTAAACTGAAATAGTTTCCTCTCTTACGATCCCTCGTTTGCTCTTGGCGAAATATTATGGATATAAGCAAACCACGACGTCAACAGAGGCGAGGACGTGGCAAAACTAAAGATACAATGGTGGAAAAACAGCTGAGCACGTGCATTTTAAAACTTTGTACATTTCTTAGCCGTCCTCTGCAGAACAACAACGTGAAATCAAAACTTTTCGTAGTCTGCCAACGAGAACTACGACGGAGAATTAATTAAGTTTCCATGCAAAACTCAACGCTGCTCACATACAGTATGCCGTATTTGAGCAGTCCCGATTGGCATCGGTCGGCGATGTATAGTAATATTTAGAGGGATAATGTTTAGGCTAAAAATGCACTATTCAATTAATTTTCTTGCGACTTACCTAACACGTGATATCTTTATGACTGTGCATTTCTTAGATATAGTGGCATGAGAAAATTTGCAAATAAGAAACGGAATCTAAACAAAATTGTTTTTCACGGGAAATAACTAATAACTTAACTGGTAATTTTTTAAGCTCGCTAAAGAAATAAAGAAATATGTTTTTCGTCTTGTCACGAGCTTGACAAGACTCTCCTGACAATTTAAATGACTGTCAATCTGCTTTCCAGTGAAAATGACTTCATTTCTTTCAACCATCACAAAAATCTGAGGGCCTATCCTCAAAATGGTCAAACAGCAGACAGATATCTAGAGTTTTTGCAATCAGTACGTTTGTATGTAGGACTACGTCCCCTGTAATATATTTACACTTAAGCTTGGCATTAAATCAATTTTTTTACGTCCACCCAAATTTGTTACACGTTTGAACTAGTGCGTGTTAAACGAACGGCAATAACAGACTACAACCACAACAGTAAATTAAGGAAAACTACTCCAGGTGGAAATGAAACTTAAATAAGATTATATTCTTACGGCATAGAATCGTGAAACATCTCAAGAGAGCTTCACTTTATCCAGTTTAAATGAAATATTTAGTAGGGCTTTTTAAGTGATAAACCCACGATGTATGTTGACAGAACCCGCGAAAAGCTCTTCCTCAGTATTACTGCTTTTTTCCGGCTTCCTCTAATTAAGACTTGATGAAAATTCTCGGAATGGCGTTCAATTATCCGTATTTTCTGATTAAAAATTTATCCATTTAATTAAAATTCTTCAAGCAAAATCTTTTTCTGCACCAGAAAACTGCAAATAATACATCTCATATAATAAATTATTGATCATTGGCAAGATCCGGAATTTGACACTTAAAACTGATGAAAGATGAAAACTGTAGATAAAGCGAGCATAAATGATCCCCACCGGGTTAGCTGTAAAATTAACGAAGTTGCAGATAGAAGCTTAAAAAAGATTCAGGCCTCAGCAGGATTCGAAACCAGGCCTTCCAACTAATATTTGGGCGCTACTGCAACTAAGATACAAAGCCACATCTTGGGAACGAGGCAACTGTGGTTTTTTTTTCTTGCAGCTTGGACTCAAGGATTCAAGAACTCTTCATCTTTAATTACTTCTAGCTTGCGAGGGTTATTTCGTTGCTTGTATGTCATCTGCAGATCAAATTATGATCTATTTGATTAAATTGTGTATGCTCTTTTGTACGTGGGTGTTTTTGTTATTGCTTTTTTTTTTTTTGGAAAAGCACGCGAACGTTTTTTCCCTCTAAAGTAATTTTTAAAGATGTTACATCGGATGGTTCATTGACAAACTTCATGCAAAAAAAAAATATTTTTCTCACTCTTTTCCTCGAAGTGTAAGTGCGCAACTTAAAAATGTCCTAAAGGCGCAGCTTCAACAAACTTTACACCTGAAGTAAAAATAATTGACATATGAAAGTAAACACTGGCACTCATTTCATTGTTCTTCACATTTCGTGTCAGTCGGGAGACTTATTTGAGCGTTATGTTTTAATTTGAAAACGAACTCAGCGAACAGTTAATTTTGAAACTGTGTTCCGAAACCATTAAGTTTTAACTAGGAGCGTATAAAAATGGATGGTAACCAATAGGCCAAGATTCCAATTTCGCTCGGTTGATGGAAATTAACTGTCATAATGTGAACTTCGTGAACTAGATGCGAATAAAACTTTTTTATTCACATATTTCACATTCCCATTACAGTTCTGCGACAAATTAGAAGCCATACAATGGTAGACTCATTTTGCGAATATTTGCTGCAACTATGGCCAGATACATCTGAAGTGAAGACGCTTCGCTGGACGTGTATCGCAAATGTCGTCTTAAACAGCTTTTTATGTTATACTGCTGTGGTGTTAAACGCTATAACGATCCACGGAATACGAAAAACATCCTTCTTACCAACACCTCTGAAGACATTGCTGTTGAGTCTTGCTGTTTCAGATGTTGGTGTTGGTATATTTGCTCAGCCATTGTTTACTTCAGTTTATATCAAGTTGCTGGCACAACACTCTCCTGGGTGTCCTTTCTATAAGACTGTTTATGCCTTGTCAGTACTGTTTTGCATGGCTTCTCTGAGTGGCGTTGCAGCCATCAGCTTGGATAGATTCTTGGCCATTCATCTTCATTTAAGATACCATGAACTTGTAACGTACCCGCGCGTACTTGTTGTGGTAATATTCAATTGGATGTTGAGTGCGTTTGTTTCGCTGATGTGGTTCTGGGTTCCACTGCACATTGCGTATCCTCTTATCAACATTCCCTCGATCCTCTTTCACCTAATGAGTGCGATGGCTTGTATCAAGATTTATCTAGTTGTGCGACGCCACAGAAACCAGATTCATTCCCTACAGGTACAATATGAAGAACAAAGGCCTAGTGAATTGGTAAATACTTCTGGCCTCCGAAAGTCTGCAGTCGGTGTATTTTACGTGTATGTGGCGTATTTAATTTGTTACTTACCTTCTTCATTCTGTTACATTGTCGTAACACTTAACGGTCCAAGCATTCTGTTAAAAGTGTTTATCTCTTTCTCGAATTCTCTTGTATTTCTTAATTCGACTTTGAACCCAATACTTTATTGTTGGAAGATGAGACACATTCGACACTCTATCATGAACATGTTACGCAACACACTGGCTGTATTCAGAAACTCTTTATCACTGGAAGAGTGATAAACGTGTCATCAAACTTAAACTAGGATCTTATTTTTTATAGTAAGAAGTGCACGCAGCCAGGATTTGGTTTGGCCCAATTGTGAAGTAACAAATACATACAACTGCAGTAACGAAGTAGACTTTGCTTTTCCTGCCATGTAGTGATCGATTATGAAATAGCTAAGTAATGATGATAATAATAATAATAATAATAATAATAATAATAATAATAATGATAAGTGCGGGATATAAGTATGATGAAGGGAAAAACGCCCCGAATGTTGTTTGTTGTCTTACTGGCGCTAACTAATGAGCGCGGAAGGGGACAGGACATAGTAATTTAATCAAGCGTGGTGGGTGAACGAACTTATGAATTGTTTCATTGCTTTGTTCAATATAATCATATTTGATTGTGTTTTTCTAGATGTTTTTTTTTTAATTAATTTTTTATTGATCGCAGCCTCAGATTGACCCTCAACTTTCCGAGCTTTGCCCAGCCGGCCACCCGGCTCACCTCAACTCAATCCTTATCAGTCTCCCTCGCACGTTTTCTTTTGTTTTAATTCGGAGAAAAATTGATTACTAAGGTATCATAGTCTTACAACGTCATAGGTAATAAAAACCTTCCCAACTTTTCTTTTTTTTCCCCCTAGAGTTCTAGAAGTGAATACTGAGGCGTATCCTTTTTGTCATTTCCAATTATGTCCCAGAAAATTAGAACAATTGTCCATAAAAAAGGTGAAAATGTTCTTGGGGCTATAACGAACAGAGGGGTGTCTCCATTTATTTTTTAAGGATAAAACAAGTGAACAAAGCAAAACAAAACTCAAGGAAGAAAAGAAATTTATTCTTCAATCATTCGTTTGACTTGAACCGGTGGATTCTTTAATCAAGACGTAGATCCACAATCCTTTGCACTTGCACACTTTAGCTCAACCCTAACGAACCGAAAAGAGAAAAAATAGTTTGTTTAGGTTGTCTCCACTCTGTCACAGTGGAGTGATCCTCTTTCATAGGGAAAAAGACCTTAAGCAAAATAACCTCACGTTCAAACCATGGAGCCTTTTATCTTTCTTATCAAATTGCAGGCCCAGACAATTGCAAGTGCCTTCGCAGTCCAGTTAGCGATGGCGTTATACTGCCCTTTGGAAGGAATGGGTGAAGGCCCGCAAAAGCCTGGATTCATTTTCAAACCTCAATATCTGCAATTTCTTTCATTGGGTATCAGTTGGTCAGGTACCAGCCACACTCCAATATGATAATGCGCTCATGATTTATAAAAATCAAAGAAAATGCAAAGTATAATGAAGTAAAAGAACAAAGACAGCAAACAGAAAGCATCTAGATAACATAAAGTAATTACGGCAAACTTCGGTTAACGCAATCAGCGCTCAAATTTATGTTGGGTACCATACGACTTAGACTGGGTGTTACA